GTTATTGGACTCAATTGTTGAGCTCAGGCATCGCGTCGACTGCAAAAAAAAAAAAAAAATTAAACTGGGCCAGTTCATCACAAATGGCAGAAAGCACGCAACGTTATTATCGTTTTTGTTGTTGTTGTTGCTCCTGTTTTTTGTGTTTAATGAACCATCACAAAGTTGTTTCAATTTTTATGACGTTCTTGTGCCACATTGTGTGCTTCAACATGTTGTTCTTTTAGTCTTAGTGCTTGTAAGCGCATTCCGGCGAAATGCTTCTGAAATACAATTAAATTTTTAATTTGTTGTATGCTTTAAGTCCCAAATAATATTGTTTCCACTTTCTGTGTATCAAATGTGAATTATGGCAGGTGAAAGCATGCATTTTTAATGGAAAGTTGAGCTTGTGAATGTTGTACATCATTTTCTCAATTGCAACATCGTGCACTTTGCTCAGAAATGGCTTAAGATTGCCGTCTCCCTAATTCGCGCTGGGGGCTGTCTTGCTCTTTACGTTGCCTTCAAATGACAGGATGAATACAAAGAGTGAAACTTAAACTCAACTTAAATATCTTTTCGTCCCCCTCTGTAGAGTCTCACCAAAAGGTTAACGTTTTATTCTCTATTTTATGATGCAATTATTTCTTTACTTTTCAACATATATTTTGGTTTCTAATGTATATGGTACATCAAAAATCAATCTTTTAAAGCATACGTTTAATCTTAAATTTATTGACTACATGTTCTTGTACTTTGCGCACATACTTATAAATATTTGATGCATGTCTGCAATGCCCAAAAAAAAAAAAAAAAAAGTTAATATTTTTTCCACTTATGAACTTCAATACTGTTATCCACTGTTGTTATATCTGCTACTTTGTTTAGGCCTTCAATCAATCAATTACTGAACACGTGTGCTTTACATTTGCTCAACATTTTTACTGCAGATTCGACTTGCCAAATAAATATTGTGTTTGAATCAGTGAGTTGCGTAGGCGAAAATAAAGCCTGAATAATTTATGCACAAAATGGGTATACACCGCATTGCCACACAAACATTTCACAGAATTCAATTCAATGCGTATTTTGGCTGTATACCACACTCAATGTGCTTAACATCCATTTATAACGACATTGACTGTATATTAAGCGGATGTATTGCGTTGACCACACTTTTGTTTAATTTAACTAATGAATTTTCCTTATAACCCACTTCAAAAGACACTATTTTAATCAATTTTCTTATTCAAGCACCTTAATACATAAGCGTCGACATTTTCAATTACTTTAACACTTCACGCTTTGTTGTCCGCGATACAATCCCTTAGCAACTCTTCAACTAACAATTAAATAATCTGTTTGCTTGAGAGACTGATATTTTTAAGTGAAAATAATAATCAGAGACATGAGCTGTTTCTAGGGCAATCAATTACTGAATAATAGACACAAACTTCATAAAGCAAATTGAAGATTTTTATTTACTAAAGCACATATATCAAATTCATCGAAATATTCACTCAAATTTTCCAAGGCAAAGCTACTTGTTGATATTTTCCGCTTGTATTCAATCAATTGTAATATATCGACGCTTTCAAGACTATGTGCAGCAATCAAAACAATTTATATCAAAAATATTTATATTGTGTCAAAATTAACACTTAAAAATTTAACAAAATTTATGAAAATTCACCCGAATTTCTATTTCCTGTCACATTTTTGTGCCAATCACTCACAATGACAACTGATGTTGTTTACTTAATCAATTTATTCAAGATGCAATTAAACTTTGAATGAGCTAGTAAATCTTATACAAAGTTCTCTAAACTAAATAATGAATCATTGATGAGTCGACTGAAAGTTGTCTCCCGTGACAAAGATCAATCAAAAGTTGACTTGCAATTCCTCAGAGTATTTTTGCACATGAGAGTGGTGTAATTTGATTTTTAATTAGCCGGCAAATTTTAGTGGTAGTAGTTGTACTAGTATAAAATTTGTTGCCCAACTCATTTGCATTTCAACACATTGCCACTGGCCCTTCTGGGCAATTATGTTAATTTTCCCGGCCAGATGGCGCAAATTTTACGAATAACCAAACAGCCAAAAATTCAAAGCCAATGGCCTTCAGGAGAAGCAGTGGAATGGGGCAACTGGTAGGAAGCGACTTTCGTGCGCTTAATTCAGCAAAATTGGCTACAATTGCATTTTAAATTTCATTCAAAACAGCTGGCAGTTTGGCCATTTCGAAATGAATACACGTTCTTTGGGGAGAATTTCCAAAGCAATTTCAAGCAAATTATTCGGACAATTATTAGGATGTGATAGAAACACGTTGTCAAAAGCATTATGATAGAATTATGAAGTGTCATTGAGTCTGAGAAGTGTCTTAATTACGTGTCAGATAAGGCTAATTTGAATAAGTCGCCTCGGATTTACAGAAATCCACAAGACACAATTTCTAAAATAAATTCTGGACATTACCTTAGCTTTTCAAATTGGTACATATGTATATTTAAATTTTATTTGTAAGAAGCTGTCCAGTTTGTTTTCTTATTACCCTGATATTATATTTCTTGTTTACGTTTAATTAGTTGATCAATAACTGAAAGTCAAATGAGACAGACAAATATGAATTTGAAAATTTTAAGCAAAATTCCCAACAATGATAAAAATATTTGGGTTTTTTACGTCATTTTGCTGATGAGAAATATTTCAACTTGCACGAAACGACCCAAATACTTGGAAATCCCCAAAACAAAACTGCAAAGAAGCCATAAGCGACACAACGATGAAAGTGAGTCCTCAAAAAAGGGGTGTGAATCGTATGTGTATGTGTGTGTGTGTGTATGAGTGTGGGTATGTGTGTGTCCCTGGATGTGCCTGCATGTAATTGCAGTTATCTGGCAGCATCCTTGTCTAAGCATTTTGATTGGTTTTCTGTTTTCCGTTTATCTTTTCAGCACTTCGCATTTTGGGTCTGTATTGCCATTTATGATTTTACGACAAATGTTTATTGGAACTCTGAAAAAAACTTATTCTGGGAACGAAATATCAATTTCAAGAGCTGCGCATTGCATTTGCTTGCATTCGTTGCATGACACACACAGTGATGACAAATTGAAATATGGCAAAGTGCCTAGCATATCATTCTGTTATTCGAGCAGTTTCCAACAATAGTCATGTCGCATTTATAGCTGTAGAGGGACTTTAACTACATATATAAAAACTGTTGAAAAAGTGGGGGAAAATGTGAAAAGAGCTTTTGATTGTTTTTGGTTTTCTTTTTTTTTACATTTCATCTCATTTTGTAATGGTTTCTTTTGTATCAGTCCAACTTCTACGAAAATTGTCAGCTTCCGTCGTTTTTAGGGACATCTATGCTTTTAGTTGATCTGTAACAGGTTAAAGTTTCCTTTTTTATTTCAAGAATAGGACGCAAAAGTAAAATAGTATTGTTATCAAATACTTTTTACCTGGACTTGGCAGCAAAATAAATTTGCTTACTTAATAAAATAAATAAATAAAATTAAATAACTGCGAATACTGGTTTGTTTATCAATTAAATGCCCAAAAAAACGCGAGTGTAAGCAACGAAATAAATTATAAAGCGAAGTGCAAAAAAGGAACACGTCTATCGCGAATGGCAATAAAGGTCATATCTCAATAGGTAAGATACATATATTATATCAATATTATACACTCGTTATCAGCACAAGCTGACCTTTTCAATCAGATCAGCGAAAAACGTATTTCCCCTAAACAATTTGTGTTTTACATCTACAAATTAGCGGGTTGAGCTGTGAGCAGTTGTGTAAGCATTTTGACCTTTTGAGCCGACAATTTTGGCCATTTATTAGCTTTTCACACAATTTGGTGTGGTCAAAGTGGAGTTCTTAGCAGCTGCGTGCATTGTGAAAGCCATTTCTATAAAAAATGGCGCCCTAATGCATCACAGTATGAAACAAGCTATATATCATATAAAATAGAAACAATCACGAACCAAAATTATGCCATTAGCAGCTACGAATTGGGTCATCAGGCAGCTAATTGTTTTTGTTATATTTGTTTCTAAACGTTGTCTCTTTGCACGCAACTGAAAAATAGGAAGTCGCATTTTGATTATGACCACTATTAATCAATGTTATTTGCTGGCTTTCTGTTTTCCATTCGTTATTTTGTAACATTTAAATATGTAAATACTGAAAAGTAAACTCCACTTTATATTTTTTTCCTCCATGAGTCAGCAACATTTTAATGACCAGTCCCGCTGGACGCTCAGTCAAGGAAATTAAAACAATAAAAAAACAAATTGGGGCATTGATTTTTTAGAGGTCGAAAAGAAATTGTTTCATAAAAAAACACTATTTATAAAGGATCTGCGGGGAAAAGGAACAGGTCATTAAGTAGAGCTGTGCAAACAGAATTTAAATAGGAACAATAAATACTATCCTATTATTATATTAATACCAACTCGTAGTCATTTAAAATGTAAGACTTAAGTTCGTTTTGGTGATATTGTTTTATTTTTCATTTTAATAAAAGTACACTTACCTGCCCTTCAGTCTATCTAATGATAAGCAAATATTTATAGAGTTACATAAAGTCATATTTTATTCCAATCATAGGTATAATAATTTATCGTAATACAAAAGACAGCATACGATGCTTACTTATAGCCAAGAATGATGACCAATATTCAAAAGGCATTTGGAAGGGCTTAAATCCTGAACTATTCTTAAATTATGGTATTACATACGCATTTGCACTTAGTCACTAATAAACTATGTCAAGTATCACTTGGAGAAACTTATGCACCACCCAAAATAAATGTTCAAAGACACCACACCACCACAAACTTTGGCGGAGCGATGCACGCGCGGAGGGGCTCGTTCCGTGCATGCAGCGCTGGCCAAAATGGGTGCGAGAGAGTATTAAACGATTTGTTATTTGGTATTATACTAAGCTACATAATTATAAAAATAAGCAAATATCAAATAAATGAAGAATCAAATTAATAATCCAAAATACATATATAAAGACAGAGAATTATAGTATTTACTTAATTTATAGCCACAGGGCATCGATGGCATCTTCCATTTCTTCCGTTGCGGTGCGCTTGAGTCGCTGTGGTTGTGGCGTTGTCAAAATGGACTGCTGCTCGTTGACAACAACCGCCTTGGCCTCCATCTCACTGCCGCTGAGCAGCACCATCAGCAGCACGCTGCTGCGTCGAGTACGTGAATGTTCCATTTCACATTCCCGTTCCCGTTCCGGATGCTCCTGATGCTCTTGTAGCTCAGGATGTTTGTGTCGCATTCTGCGCAGCCAATCACTTGTAGGCCAAATGCACTTGCCACCCACACTGCAACGCCGTCGATTGGCATCTCTTGCTGTGCGTTCCGCTCTTCTTGTTCTGCTGCTGTTGCCGGCAGTGTCTTTTGGCTGCAGCATTTCAACAACGCAGATGTCGTTAGTGCTGTCCATTTCCAGTGCTGCACATTCATCAACATCAGTCGCTGTTTCAGTCATTGCCGCCGGCGCAGCAGCTGCTGTTGTTGTCGTTGTTGTCGCTGCTGTTGACACCGTCCGGCTACACTCCTGCTACACATTCGTCACTTGTGTAGTCGCACCCAAGTCAATGGCCATGCTCTTGCTAACAGCATCGGTATGCAGCAGTCGCTCCCGGCCATAGTCATCCAATCCTCCGCCGGCGCCATCTCTCGCATTGCCATCGTGTTGAGACAGTGGCAGCCATTTGTCGAACCAGCGCGGTCGAAAGAGCAGCGTAAACGTGCTGCGAAACTGTCGACTCATCGAGCAGTAGAGTATAAAATTGATGCTCGAATTAATGAGTGCCAAGATATCCATTAAGTCACCTGTAAACAGACAATCAGAATTAAAAAGCGATGAGTGCCAGTGCACATTCAAAATGAGTTTAGACTCTGACAACTGAACATGTCTGTTGCTGTTTGGGTTAAGAAAACTAAATACAAAATAATTGGAGCTATTTGGCTGGTAAACAAGTAAATGTCTGGTTTATGTGAAGTTTAATGACAGTTGTGGCTTAGCAGTGCGTATGATTAATGTCCAATTTATGTTATGTTGAGCCCGTGAGTGACTTCAATCGTGATTCGATTTGGCGAGACTTAAAACACAATACAACACAATAGGTACTGGTCAAATTTTCCACTACCATAACTTTGTCAAAAGCTATTCGTTTTTAATATAAGAATTGAGCGACTTTTAATCATGGTTTGAACTCTAGGTTCATATTTGCTTTAACGATAGAAATGCTATTTGCCGTCATCATTGTGGCCTCAAAAAGTGCCAACAGAAACTGGTCAAACTTTTCTAGAATCTGTTCATATTGGAAAGTAAGTTTCAGCTTAAATTTGAAAAGTGTTTCAATGGTAATAGTTTGTTCATTTGGTCTTATTCATGGACTGTTGAAAATTCCATCCAGCGCCTAGGTCTTTTCGTTAAATACAATTCAAAGAAATATAATGAAAGTTTCCTCTATACTTACTTAGCTTGAGGTAACACTGCATAAGAAATGCGTCACCGAGCAGCGCATTTAGCAGTCCCATAATACCCTGTGGAAATTCTGTGATGAGAAAGAGCAGCAGCACCGCCAGCAACATGCGTGTGGTGCGATCCGTTTGTTTCTCCTTCTCCAGGAGCTTGCAACTCTTGGGATGCGTGGGTATTACCACTTTACCATTGACTATGGGCTGCATATCATTTGCCGCATTGCAGGCGAGTATTTTGCGTCGCTTTTTCGCTTCCAGCAGAGCGCCAATCAAGCGTACCGACAGCACAGTCAATGCAAAACAGGGTATTAACTTAATCAGCACACTGTAGATGAGGAATGTGGCATTGCGCAGTGGACGATCATTAAGGGCCAGTTCACTGTGATATAATTTGTAAACAGTTACGTTGCGCTCTCCACTCTCGAACAGAGCTGTTGTTGTTGCTTTTGTGATCAGTGGCACCACTGTGGAATAGCTAAGCATACTGATTGCTGTGGTATTAGTGCCACTTGTGACTATCGGCCAGGCCATGTCAGGTGTGGTGCTGGACATAACTTGTAGCGTCACTTTCTCCTCGTTGTTGTAATCGATAATATATTGACTCAGAGGCATCGAGTTGATGGTCTTACCATTGGCGTCCAGTGTCTCCAAAAACTTGGCTATTGCGCTGACCAGATAAAGCCACGGCGACACCACCAACACACAAACCACATAGGCTGTCGCTATTGTTATCGTTGTGGTGCGCATGCCACACCAGATCCGATTACGCTGCGGATAACTGACGGCAATATAACGCCACACAGCCAGCGTAACTGTCAGCCAAATTGAAATGGTGTGCAGCACCTGGGCAAATATCGAATGGAACTTGATGAAGCACGCCCAACTGTAGCTCAGTTGCTCTTCCCGCGGCAAACGAGCGCTGAGTATATAATCGTGCACCGTATATGGTATATACTCCAACATCACGGCCAGATCGGCAACAGCCAGACCAGTGAGTATCGCATTCGTCGGCGAACGCATCTCCCGACGAGTCAGCACAATTATGTTCAGTGTATTGGCAAGTGTGCCCAAAATGCAAACGATGAGCGAGAAATATCCATGAAAATATTTGTAGCTGTGGAGAAAGTGTACAAATTATTAATAACAGTGCAATTTAATAAACACAGATTATTAATATGTTAGTGCAATTGAATAATAACTAAGAATACACACGTTTCAACAGTTCATTAGGTTAGATAATTAGTTTTTGTTACCGTACGTCTATGCCCCATAGTATGATTTATGATTATCAAATAAAAAGTAAGCACACACAACGTATTATCAGCCGCCCAAAATATTTCATGGTAATTATACAGCTGATCTCATTATATACACATCAATTATCACGTAAGCAAGCAAATAATAATGTAAATTACATAAAAAAAAGTAATTAATTTACTGAAACTGCACACCCACCAGGAGGCAATGAGTCCACAATCGCTGACCACTTCGGCCTGCCATACCATCATTAAACTTACTTTGTGTGAAAATCATCGATGCTGGAGCCACAATAATGCGGCTGCGACATGTTCGTGACCATGTTGTTAATATTGTTCGGCTAGTTGCTTGAATGATGGCGATTCGCCTGATTGCGTCCGTGGTCTGGCTGCTGTTTTTCCTTCGCTCCTCCAACTTCCCACACCGGATGCACTCCTCCTCTGTACACTTTAAGCTGTGTGGTGTTCGTGGCACTCGTGGTTCAGCAGTACGCTGTCAGCATGCCGCAACGAGCCAACTCTGCCTCTTCATTAAAATTCCTTTGGGGTTTTTTATTTGGTCACTTGCGAGTTTCCAATATTTAAATTGTTTGGCTTGTCCTGTTGCTGAAATAGCTGAAATAAAATGAACAAAATATTTGTTTAACAATCGTGCATTGCGTTTGGCAATTTTTTTGGGGTTTGGGCTAGCATGTTAAAGGCAAGCGAACCTTTCGTGTGAAAAGGCCAAGTTATTACGTGTTGCCATTAATTTTGTTTTCATTGCTCACCATTTAAGCACAATTTTTCATGTTACATGCTAATGAAAAGTGAAATATGACGTGTTTTTATCTAAAATTCAAGTTCAGGGCTATAAATTTAGTAGTTGTAATGGCGGATCAGCAAGGCAAGTGCAAAGTGAGGCAAAAAAAAACAGAAAAACAAAATTGTGAATTGAAACTCCTAACTACAGTTGGTACTACTAAGTACCTAGTATTTTATGAGACATTATTCATCAAGGTTCCCCCTTTAAATCATGCTTTAATCAAAGCAGACTTTTAGTTGCAGAAATTTATTAAAAGCTCTTTATTATCAAACTCTTTGAAAGTTCAGTTTTGAAGCAAAAAAAGAGCTTAAAAGTTTGCTTAACAAAGCATACATTTCAGGTCCAAAACAGTTTAGGTTAAGTAATTGACAGAAACAGAACAGTTACCAAGCAATGACGTGAGACGAACAAAAACGATTCCCAAGAAGCAATCATTGCTATACATACGCCCCCAGTGCAAAAACAGAGGTGATTCGGTTAAAAAGTAAAAATAAAGAAATGGGACAGTAACATGTCAATTTTCTTCACACAAAGGCAAGTCAACTCATGCAGTTGGCTTCGACCAACGAAGGCAATGATTTTGTCATCAATTGTCCACCAGCAGTGCTGGTTTGCTGCAGCTTAAGATGGGACACATGCTGCGTATACGCAATGTAAATTTAGCCTACAACGCAAACAGACAATGTCAAACTGTAAAAGTAACATTTGACAGTCAGTTACATGGTCCACTTGACTTGTGCACTTTGTCGACCACATTTGGGCTTTAACAGAACTTTACACACTGCAGCTGTATTTGTAGCTCTGTAACCATCTGCATCCCATGTGACCGCAGTCACTTCCAACATTTAATTAAAACTTTTTGTTTATCACATTTCTCCCAAAATTTCTCTCAGGCCACAATTTGTACACATGCTTTCTTTATTTAAGAGCTGAAAACTGACAAAGCCAGTTTTATATCTATATCTCCGTTGAGTTTGCTGGCATTTTGGTTTGGTACACAATCCCTCATGCTAAATCTGACCTAGTTGAGCCCAAAACTGACACTCAAATAGACACATAATCCACTATCTGCCGTTGGCACATCTGCAAGTAATGGGCAGCCTGCAAAGCCTTGCGTATTTGCCACAGTTTGGAATATTATTAAATAATAGGAAACATCGAGCGCAAATGCAACTTAAACCAATTAGAACCAGCTGGCAACGAACAATGTATATCGTAATTAAAATAGGCCAGAACTCTGGCTCAAGGCTGACTATGTGAGCACATTATTGAGGACCTCATTAATAATGTTAGACCATGGTAATGGTCACAACGGCTTCATTAGATGATTTAAATGGCACGTTGGTAACACATTAAATGCCAAGTGTTTATGCCATATAGTCTGCTGTTGTCGGCATCAACAAGTTGCCAATGCGGGGGCTGATGGGCATTACGTGACTTGCCTCAATTTCAACGGTTTCCGGTCTTCGTAGAAAGAGAACCGGACTCTAGAAAGAAATGCTAATGTACGCAGCTGCTGAACAGCAAACGCTCCAGTCTCAGACGTTAATGTGCGGCATACGCTACATATATACATATAATTATATATTTCCATCAGTAGACCGAGTCCTGCTACACCCCCTGTTTCTGCTACTGACTGCCTGAATGATTGACTGAATGACTGGTGTGTGGTTGGGCACTACATTTTGTCTTGGCGTGGTTTCCAAGAAATTTAAGCTATTTGTTTATTAGTGTTTCACGCAGTTTCAAGAAGATCTGCACAGAATTCGATTAAGTGTAGCTAAGCCACATGCTGTGCTTTAAATTTGTTGTATATATTGGAAGCTTGCTTTTCTCCCTCTCGTTTTTATTAAAGCTCTTCATTCAACTGGGAAAGACACTCTCTGCATTTAGATTAACCATTTTTCGCACCAAGGGCATAGGTTTTAATAATAATTATAATTCAACCACTGTTTGGTTGTGAGACTGATAAGCACGTTTTACTTACTTGTATTGTTCTAATTGGCAGCTCTTCTACCCAATTGAAAATACTTTAAAATCCAGTTAACTTCTGCACCAGCAAGTTAATTGAAATCCATCTAAAACTCTACCCGAGTTCCATTTGTCTTTACATCAAAAGGTTCAGGTCATTGAATGCAATCTTAAAGTATTAACAGTGCTTGACTTTTAATTCTAACACACACAATAAAGTAGTTGAAAAGTGAATTTCGAGAAATGGCAATCAAAATGATTGTGAATTGAAGCCAAAGAAACTTGGGATGAAAACTGTGAGTTGGCCAGCAAGTAAATAGTTGCAGAGTTTCGATTAAGAGATACTCTGTAGGACGGCCTAAGCCAAAATAGGGAGAGAAAAAGTTTTAAAGTAAACTTCAAAAACAACAGTTGCAAATATAATAGCAAATGCCAAAACAAACCTTAACTGAATTTGTAGCTGAATATGGGTAAAATAAGCAAAAAGGTAGTAAATTGGGAACAGATCAAAAACCAAATGCTTCACAAGGCAATTCACTTAAGCAATGTGCCAATAGACTGATAAAATATACGTGTTTGGCAAATAAAAATAACTTTCCACAGAAAATGAATAAATGACAATAAAGAAATGCTAACGAAAAAAAAATTACTGCAGTTGACGTAACAAACGACCTAAACAACATATTGATAAAACATGTTAGGAATAGTAAGCGGCCAAAAGTGAATTATGACAATCTGGACCAACCGCAATGCCACATTTGAATATTATGGCCTGCACTTGACAGCAGACCGACCATTTCCGTTCACATTTAGATTTCCATTTGTAATCTAATGAATTTAATTGAATATTACGCATACCTGTTCAATTATTTACGCTGATTTAGTTGCTTGCTGTTGGCACATTTACTTCCGCCTATTGCTTTGATGATTTCGAGAGGCGAATGCTTGGATGAATACAGACCCAAGTTGGTACCCGAATGTGTATTTCTTTTTATACTTGAGTATTGTGTGTGTGTGGAAACCTAGTGGCAGTCAGTCGCACACGTGTGCGTTTCGAACTGTAAAACCGGATTTCTTTCAATATGGACAAACACACACATACAACACCCACATCGGCATGTTTACTCATAAACCATTAAGGTCAACCTGTACACGTGGCATTTGTTACGCTATATGCCTGAGAATACTCGACGAACAACTTATGCTAGAGCGGGCACTACTTACTGAGCAATGTTTCCACCTAATGCCTGAAGGGTTTCACTTTCGACCTGTTTTCCTTGAAAAAAGCGTTTTTTTTTTGCGTTGGTCAACTGCTCGTTAGACACACTTCAGCAGATTCTCGAAATATATCTTGAAGAAACAAAGTTGGCTCAACTTTGTCTGCGCTTGAAAAAAATCACAGTCAAGGCCATTGATGAAAATATGTATACAAAATCGTATTATGGCAATGTTCTTGCCCTTTTCCACATTGATGAGAGATCATAAATTACTGTGCTTTAAGTCAGCGCAAATTGTGAGAGCTATAAATGCATGGCCCACTCAATACTACTTAATGACTGTATTTTAATTTAAGTTCTTAACGTTAATCTACCACAGGCATGTTAATTCACATAAACGGATTTAAAGCTTTTGTTGGAATATGGCTTGACAAGCAATGTTGTCAGCCAAATATTTACTGAGGTGAAGTGGCGCGAATGCACACAAACACACATATATCCACTTATGTACATATATACTCACATGCAGAGGCACACATTCGTGACAGCATTTCATAATTAAGCATTCAGAAAAGCAGCGTCAACACAAGCACATCACCAACAAATGTGGGGTAAGTGGAAAGGGTCGTTAGCAAAGAGAGATAACAGTTGGCCGCTATTTAGGCATAAAGCAACCGCAGCTACAAGGAACAAAAACAACTGCACATTTCATTGCCAAAAAAGAAGACAATGAAAACCAACACATTCCACATGACACAGAGTGGTAGCTATGTTCTTTGTTGTTTTTCCATTACTAGGGTCAAGGTAATAACACTCGAGTTGCATTTCATGTAAAAAGGCTGAAAATATGAAAGACCCAACTTCGAAAGCCTTTTTTTGTAAGATCTTGTTGAAACTATGGTACATCGAGCTTAATTAAAAATGCAAATGCTGGAGATATAGTTGTGTTTGAAATTTTTTTGCGAGCTTTGAATATAGTTTCATTTATAAATGTGAAACTCATTTTAAGCATAATCCAAGCATTGTTCAACTGTAATATAAATTAAAGTGCGGCAGCAAGTGGCGCCACTTGCCATGCTTCGAAGTTAAATTCAATTAAGCCTCACAAAATATATGCGCCAATGGCAGTTATTTTTTTAATTTGCGTTCCCTGTGGCTATAATAACAAGTTGTATCTTATCTATGTCAGCTTATTGTCTAGATTGACTGCTGGTTATATTGTTTATGAGCTCGTTTATTAGATGTTCTAATATTTACTTATTTTGTTGATCATTTGGACAATTGAAAGTTTATTAACGGCTTTCACTCTCACTCTCCATCTCTATAAAATATCAATAAATTATTGACTGGCAGCTGAACGTCATAAAAAATATAATCTTTCGCACCTTGTTATGATGGGCTCAACAAATATGAGCCGAGTTCCCGAATTACATTAATTTATGACAGCTTTATCAACCATTTTTGCAACGCATATTTAATCAAGCTCTTTATTAAAAACAACATTTTCGGTTTGACTGAAGTAGATGTAAAATTTATCAAGCCATCAAGTTTAATTAAAATTGCTATGAGCTTCTACCACAACAATTTATGTAACAATAATAGCTAATGAGACTAATTGTGCT